ATTATCACCAGCTGCTATTCATGCCGGGGTCCTTTGCTGATAGTAGGGACTTGTGATGAGTTCAGGAAGGGGCTTGGGATCCCCAGGTTTGCCAGTGTCTTTCAATGAAAGTCATGTCAGACACTATCAAAGGCTTTTTGAGGAGTAGTGTCAAAGAAATGGCTCTTTCATGTTGTGCTAGTAGGAAATACGACTGTATAATCTCTAAAAGACAACCATGAAAGAGCCAGGCAAATGCAAGAGACAGAGCTCAATCTTTCCCTGCCCTCATCTGTTTCATGGAGCCCTCAGTAGCACTGCAGCACCCGTAGGCTTGCAGCCAGGGAAAAGTCATCAACCTGGGTGCGGTTTGACCTGCTCTGGGGGGCTATGCGCTTGTTACAGCAAGGGAGGTTGCATGGGTCATGTAGCCTACAGGGACCATTCCAAAATGGAGCTCTCTGACAGAAACAGAACAGGACATTAAGCAAAATATCTGTCCTCCTCTGGATGCTTGAGAAGGCCAAGAGAGACACTTTAGCCACCTCCAAAAATATGGAGCTTATCCTTGTTTCTCTCTGCTTCCCCACCACACATAAGGCTGCAGTAACTTCCATAGTCAGAGTAGACGGATGACAGAGTGTAATAGGCTGCAGTAACTTCCATAGTCAGAGTAGACATATGACAGAGGGCAACTGGACTTAGCATTTTGTGGAAGGACATTTTTTTTCTGTATAAGATGAAGATCAGGGCATTAACAGGCTGAAATCTATTCAAAAAATTGGATGCATTCTTAGTGGCAATATTTACGCAAGATAACTATTCCAAATGGGAGGTGCATGTATGTATTTGAGGACATCATTTGGCTAATGGGAAGAAACTGGCCAACATTGTCTTGGCTCCTTATTGACACATCTCATGTAACTGTCATATGCTACAGCCCAATATTTTTTAAAGACTGTCTTAGAATAAAAACATCATAATGTTTATGCTGTAGGCAAAATTATGTTGCATATACATTTTGCAAAAAAACCCAAAACAGCCTTTGCTTTGAGAGAAGCTCTTCTGCTAGATATTATTAATTAATTATTCCTCATATTGTTTGCCTTTAATTTTTGACCCTTAAATTTCTGAGTTAATTAATTTTGCTTTGATCAGCATCTACAACAATTATAACGACAAGCGGAATTTTATCTCCGGCAAAAATGTTGATGGTGGTTACTTGAAATGCAAATATATGCTGCTTAAAGAATCCAATCTGGCATCCCAGTCTCTCAGTATGGCAACATCACTTGTTTTTTCAAATGGTTTAAATCTGCCACTTGACAAAGTATGCTTTTCCCCACACTGGATTTCTGTAACTCCATCCAGATAAATATAAAGTTGCATTGAACTTTACTGCTAAGCCTTCAAGCCTAGTGGATTTAAAGCTAGCAATTATGTTCTTATGGTGGATTGTAAGAGAGGAATGATAGGTCATAGTCAAAAGGAACAGTTTGTCCTGACTAATCGTTTTGATCAGCAACAAAGCACTCACACAATTGTGACCTGATAATATAATTTTCCTTTCAGTTTGAAAACTGGTCAACAATCACCTTTTTTTTTTTTTACTCCACTGATTCTTGTAATTCACAGAAAGGAAGTAGGGAACCAGGCCCACCAACAGAGGACAAAGGGGACCGTTGCACTGGGATCTGGCGATTTAAAAGGTCCTGGGGTTCTGGACCACCAGCAGTGGTGGGAGCCCTGGGCCCTTTAAATTGCTGCTGGAGCCTTATGCAGTGCAGTCTTTCAGGCTAGTTGGAGGAGACTAGCCCCTAGTCTAGCCCCACGCCTTCCAAGGGCCTAGAGCCAAATCCCACACACATTACCCATGGCCTGGTGAAGTTGGTCTCCAGCCCTACAGGGAATCCTCCCTTTGGAAGCTCTTTGTGCCACATGTGAATGGCAAAGGCTGAGGTTATCAGGAGAATGTGCTCCCCGACTGATGTGACTGGTTCTCAGAGATGATCTATGAAAAGCAGATCAACACATGGTGTTCTTTGTAACTTCTGTGGAAGAGTATCATTTAAAAAGTGCATTGTAGTTAGAGCTGGTATTCAGATGTTAAATTAATGGAGATTGCCTGTCTCCTAGACCTGGAAGGAACCTTGAAAGGTCATTGAGTCCAGTCCCCTGCCTACACAGCAGGACCAAGTACCATCCCTGACAAATTTTTGCCCCAAATCCCTAAATGGCCTCCACAAGGATTGAACTCAGAACCCTGGGTTTAGCAGGCCAATCCTCAAACCACTGAGCTATCCCTCCCCTCTGCTTATGCTTATGCTTATGCTTACAAAAGCAAATTTGCCTTCAGTTCTGGGCCCTGTCCTGCAAACAATCTTCAGAGTCATTCTCCAGAGGCACTTAGCACCTTAACAAAACCAGAATGCATGGACAGGGCTCTTTGGCTTCTGGGAAATGTAAACTTGGAAAATCTTTCTCACATCCATATAGCTTACTCTTGCCCCTCCCCCCACTGATTTTTGTAACATATTGACATTTTAATATGTAAGAATGGACATTTTCGTACATAAAGAAAAGAGGGTACAAATAGGCTGTGGAGTACACTGCCATCCACTGATGAAGATACCCTCCCCTCAGCATCCTGCATAAATCGGATTAATATTATTTATAATATAGGGAAGAACAATCCCCCAATATCTTAGCTACCATGGCTCAGATTCTAGACTCAGTTACATCCCAGCCAACAGAACCAGTGGGGATATCTGTATGTAACCAAAGGAGGATCCCTCACCTCCTTGACAGGGAAGGCTCCTTTGGTAAAGGAACCGATGCGATTCTTCTGTATAAGGATTGGGAAAGATTGTGGTTTCCACACCACAGTATGAGGCCACGATCTAGGTGGCTTTCTGTGCTTCATTCAGCAGTCATGCCAGGGCTGGGGTAGGACTGGGGGCAAGGCAGCCTGAAAGTTCTGCTGTCTGGGACCAGAGTATTTGTGTGCTGTGAAAGTAGCTGCAAAGCAGCTTCTCATCCGTTCCATTGCCCACTTCCTTCTGCACTTTTCTGAGGCCAGTGTGTTTAGACTCAAGATTTTGGCTCAATGTGACCAAAATAAGAACACACAGCTGGACAAATTCAATAAGGGAGGCCACAAATAGGTGGAAAATGAAACTGCAGGAGTAAATTAGTTATGGTCAGTGCTGCAGGCCAGATTTTGGATTCTGCACGGCTGCACGAACAAAACAAGATGCAATGAACCCCTACAGCTCCCACTTACTCTCAGGATCAAACCCTCATATTAGGTGTAGTCCCAAGTGAAGTGACAAGTGTGTAAGTTGCCGGGTTTGCTTCACAGTACGTCTGGCAGATCCCTGCCATGCACTACACAAAGCAGGAGTTACAGACCAGTGGAGCTGCTGATCAGAATCTAACCATTGATAAAAGCTAGATCCCTGGCTGTTTCCTCTTGTACCGAGTGTCCGCTGTATCCTAGCAACATTGCTGGACATTTGTCAGATCCTGGTAGTGAGAACCAGTGATGGTTGGGGATTTGACTGGCACAGAGCACCGCACAGATTACCTCCTCCTGCCATAGGAGCAGGTTCTTGGGATTACTGCCATTGTTGATGTTCGTGGTGCCTGAAGCATGTGAATTCCCTTGTGAATAGGACTGGCTGGATAGATGGCCCAGTAACATTTCTTGTTCCACTGCAATTGTGGGTGGTGAGGTGGGTCTTTGTGCATGCTTCAGGGATGTTAGCATCATTTCGTTTGCCCCTTCTGTGCAAATGCAAGAGAGGATTTTCTCCTTGATGTGCCTTCTTTTTGGCTAATCCCTCCCCCTCTTTGGCTATACCTCCCTGCATGAGTAAGTTTACTGTCTTTTTTGGACACCCACAGAATGCTTCATTAGAACACATGCAAATGGAGCGTGTCACAGGGTGATACTGGCTCTTTGAGAAGGAACAGGGCCAGTGCATCTGTGCCTCATCATGCTCCAATTTGGCCAGTGAAGAGAGTGTTAAAAAGGACACCTGGGCCTAGAATAGGAAGAGACCCAGAGAGTCTGGGTGAAGCAGGACTATGGGCCAGAGAGCAAGGGATCAGATGTGGGATTCTCTCTGCCTGCTCCCTGAGAGTAAGGGGAGAAGAAGTGGGAAGTTATCTGGGGGAGGGAAGGGAGGAAGGCAGAGGGAA